GATGCAGTTGACTTGCCATGTTGGGTCAGTCATGCCCTAGCCACTCTACACCTAGAGGCACATTCTTTTACTCTCACCCACATGCATGTAATCTATGGGATTGAGATTCAGATATTGTGTGTGGTTCAGATTCTTATCCACCAAATTGAGGGAGTCACATGATGATTTACATACGAGATGCAGTTGAAACATGTTGAACAAGGGTATGTGGGAGTTCAAAGCTTGTGGCAGGTGAAAAAATGTTTTGCATATAGAGGGCAGCAATGAACAGGAATAGCTATTTATGTGAGAGGATGTAAGTACCTATCTTAAATATATTTTCAGTATAGGAAAATTGTAACTTTTATAACTTTCTATATAGCTTATGTTATAGCTTTCATTCCACAGTACCCAAAACTAGTACGTTTTTTGGGATAACTCTAAGTTGTTTAACATAATCTTGCAGTGACATCCACAGTAGGTAGCCAGTTAAGCTCAAACCCATGCCTTCCTATACTTATTCCCCAAAAGTGCCCTTTTTCTTAGTCATAAAAATTGTCAACAAGTTCCAAAAAATACACCTGATTTTACACCGTACTTGCTGTGAGTTCTTATGAGAAAAAATGATTTCAGCTTTAATGTGAATAGCACACAGAACTTGTAGTAACAAAATAGTTATGATACACTATTAAGTGTTAATATTCAAAAAGTCAATGTTTAGTTTTAGATTTTAAAATGGTTATAAAACCAATTTAATAGGAATAAAAGAGAATCTATTTATTTCTTATGGCTGTTTACCATGTGTGTATGAGTGGTGACCCACAGCCCCATAGTCTACTCTAACCCCCTCCAAAAATGTGTTATGACCCATAATCTTCTCTAACTCCATTCCATAAAAGGCTTACCTTACAATGCTTGAAAAGTGTTTTTTGTCAATGAGCCCCTGCCCTTTTAAAGTTCTCTGCACATTACTGTAATTTTGTTAAGAGTAAGACCAATTGTTGCCTTTAACAAAGAAGTTAATTTAAATTTCACTAGTTATTTATTATCAGACTTCAAAAAATAGTTATACCAGTGGAAATATTAGCCTTTTTTCTGTTGGATTGTTTATTTTTATTAAGATGTAGGTATATGAGCCACTTTAATAATTATTTCATAAATCTTCCACTGGTTCAAATTCAGCAGTATTTCCAGTGATGTTGGGTTTGATATGTTTTTGTATTTCTGGTTTTATAGGGCAATTTACATCAGTTTTAGTTTTAACTATACTATTTCTCAGAACAGATTTCAAACAATAAAGTTCTCTATTACACACACAAGGGTATTACAAAATAATTGTTTAATTTTGTATTTGGTTTTCTGAAAGAGGATTTTGTGTATTCACTACCAATACTAACTCAAATAAATATTGTTTCTTCTTCTTTGCTGAAATGAATTTTGGATGAAATCAGATTAAATGTACTTAAAAATAGCTTCTGAATAATAAAAGCATGTCATGAATGATTATTTAAAAGTTCATCCGTGCACTGAAAAAAATTCTTTTCAGCTTTGTGTGTTAAGTATCATCTGATAAACTTGTAAGAATCCTGTCTAGAAAATAAAAAAAGGAGTTTGTAACCTTTTTTTTTAGTTTTTAAAAATGAATTAGTAAAATCATACTAATATATTTATATCAATTAAAAAGTATTATATATATGACCATAATCCTTTTCCCATCAATGTTGATTTTCATGTAAATAAGATCTTAAGGAAAATTATTGAGTGAAATATTTTAAGGATTAACTCGGTAGTCTTAACTAACAAAGCAAGAAAACTTTAATACCTAATCAAAGCTATACATGTTACATTTATATGAGGTAACTTTTTTTTTTTTTCAGGGCTTTGGCAGTTATGACAAAAATGGTACTGGAAAAGTACAAAGAGAGCAATTCAAGCAGGTGTTAAGGACATTCTGTCTTCCCATTACAAGTCATCAATTTGAAAATTTAATGACTCAGGTATATATGAAATGTTTTGTTTTTTTAAATTATCAATTATTATTTTTCATTTTGCTAAACACACCTTTCTTCAAATTGTACGTAAAGGTGTATGAAAATCCTACAGATTAGCAGTAAGTGACATACCTATTAAACTTACTGATGGAGTTCATATAGATCTCATCAGTCTTTCAAACATATTTTTCTTGTGGCTTGCAATTATTTGGTTGTTTACATGGTCCTAAAACACCATCAACATCATTGAACTAATTAAAACATAAATTAAAACCAAGCAGACATACTTCAGAACCACAAAAAATCTTTCTTTACTGAGTTTCTTGGATGCTATCAACAATCATGTGATTAAACTGTATTTACACAATACATTCTCTGCATCAGTTCTCCCATTTTCAGTGCAACTTATTGTGCCTCAGGAAGACATATATAAGCTCTACTTTCTCATCATAATCCATATTTTCTTTTAATAGTTGTTCTATCAACTTCACACACTATGAATTCTGAAGTTAATGTTAACTGATACTGTAAATCTTTCTAACGATAATGGAAATTTTACATCTTGTTTGGAGATTTTTCTCATCTGCATCTGGCTTATAGGGAGTTCCCATGGCTGTATTGTTAGCTCTTATTTGATCAGCATATTGAGGCCTTTAATTCTATATTGTCCACTGGTGTCACTGGTTGCCTTCAAATTCATGTATGTGCTCACTTATAGAACATCCACCCTTTTTTCATGATGATAGACCCATTCTTCATCACTGTCTGAAGAGCTAGATTTGCCAACTAGCTTTATTCCAAACAAGCTTCTACTAGTCTAATTTCTTTTTGTTTCCCAGTATGTTCTATTTTAATTCTTCAAATAATATGCCTGGGAGAGCTAATGTCATATTGGAATATTCCATTATTGAATCTTTATATTTTCCACTTTATCCTGATTTTTAGGTCATTGCTGATGAGATAACCTCAACTTCAACCCTTGCCTTGATATCCTGGGTATGTGACATTATTTCCCGTACTTCAGTTGTTTTGCTGATTCTTGAGCTACCTTGCTGCATAAGTCACCTTCCTCTACCTATCTTCTTCCCCTTCCCTTGTTATTGTGTTCATGCTGATTCCTTTCTTCATTAACTCCATGTTCACCCACAATTTTCACATTCTTCCAAACCTCCAAAATCTTATTCTATGGCATATTTTCAATTTTCTTTTTCTTTCCATGTGCTTTGACCTCTTAAGTACCTTCATCTAGCTTAGATATCTCCTTCATCTACTTTGTTTCTCTCTCTTACTCTCAATTTCTTCCTCTTTTTGTTTCATTTGCTCAGCTTCTTCACTATCTGTCCATGTTTCACCTTTTGTCTGAAACTTTACATTACAATCCTGACATCTATACTGGGGAAAATTTCACCTATCTATTCTTGACGTTGTTCTTGATTTCTTCTTCCATAATGTCCCTGATCACTTGGTTTCTTTGTTTCTGAGACTTGCTTGGTTTGACTCCCTTATGAAATTGCACATAAAGTAGCATGAATCTCTGGAAACTCTGGAGATGATATTTCTGGAAGAATTTCTTATATATTAAAAATTCAAACTGAGATAGCTTCTCAGCAACCATTTCTGCTCACTTTAGTTTTTGCTCATCTCCGTCCAGGTATCCCAGCTGGTTTCTTTTCCATGTAAGTCTTCTAGAGATGCCCCCTCTCCTACTCCTGCTCATAATCCTCTCACTACTCACTGATGTTTCCCCTCTTGGATCTTAGAGGTGACTTGTTTCTGGAACTGCCTCTCAGCCCTGGTCTAGTTGGAACTCAACATATCTATGGAGGAAAGGTTTGAAAATGAATAGTTTGATTATTTTGATACAGCCTCCTCATTCAAAGATAGAACAGATCTACACAGTTTTGGTGAATTTTTATTTTATTACATATCTGTACTTATAATAATTATATAGCATAATAATTCAGAAACACTACTGACCTCTTTGCACCACTAAAAACTATTACCTTATGCACAACTACCATAGAATTTCCTGCACATGCCATAAGCCTTGAACAGACTTTTACCTCTACATGTGTCTACATGTATTGCACCAGGCTATGATGTAATTACATAATGCTATAACCATCCACCAATAGGAAGGTGACAACAATCTCTATGTGCAGTAATACCCATGAGCAATACCACACGATCATATGTTCATTCTTTCCTTGGATCTGCCTGTGTTCAAACATGTTTTTTCCTGTGCTTTTTTAGTTTGTAGTTGCATTTTTAGTGATACATTCTTTTTGTCCTCGTTGAATTTTTGTTCCATCAACCTGATTGCAATTTCATTTTCTCTAGCCACCACATTTCTACTTTATACTATTTTCAACAATTTATGCCAAAAAAATGTCCCAAGGCCTAGATATTCCTTTTCAGCCATTTTCTCTAGTTCACTCAACAGTGACTGGAGGTACATCATCTGTTCATGGAACTGATGTTCAATTGTTATCCCTTTAGATCACTTAGTAGAGCACATGCCTGCACGTGACAGCATTCAAATTTCACTCTGTTGAGGTACTAACAACTATGGATAACTTAAGGAGTTGTGTTGAACCACGGTAATAGCAACAAGTTAACTGATGATGTTTCCGCTATTGTGCGTCAGATGTTTGGTTGCCTTCTGCCTACTTCTTCTCCAGTTCAGGTCCTTTTTTATTCTATTTCATTTTCTTCTGTTGTGCCTCCTCACTTGTAGACCATTTTGGTCAGCTCTTCCATCTCCAGCCTTTGCTTCCTGCTCTTCTCTCTCTGATGGGGATCAAGTACCTCTTTTTATGTGCTTTTTGTTTGTTATGCTCATCAGGAATGTGTTATTCTATCTTTTTAACTTTGGTTGTTTTTATTTTATGAGACTCCTTCTGTCCCAACTCCACGTTTTTCTTCATCTTTCTTGTCCTACTCGTATTTGTGTCTCCTTTGCTGTGACAACTTTATGTTTCTCAAACCCCTGTCTCTTATGTCTTTTATGTGGGCTTTTAATACTCCTTTTTCTTCTTCTTTGTCTTTTTTCTTTCCAGCAATTTGCTGGTCTTCATATTCTTTCCCCTACTCCTTAGCTTTTTCACTGTCTTTCACCTCTTCATTGTGACTTATCATCATAACCCCAATGGTTTTAATGGGGACACCTGTTCTTTGTTTGCCACTTTGACTTCTATCTCTTTCTCTGCCTTCTTAATTTTGACCTAGTTTTCTTGTTTGGAGATAATTTCCAATGAGTGTCTACATTCCTTTCTCTTATAAACATGACCTTTGTCTCACTGTTTTTCTTACAAATTACTTCTATTGGGGTGTTTCAGACTCCTTGGAATCCCATGCTAAGGCTGCTCTCTAGTAATTTTCCATTATTTCCTAGGTTTCTTGATTCCCTATTCCCTGGGCACCTCTGTCTGCTACCCATTATTGGGAATCATGTCAGACTAACACCTCTCGTGTTCCTTATCTAGTCCTTCTGTTGTCCATCTCCTCCTTCCATGGGGCTGTCTGTCTAGCTCTCTCTTGCCAAGATTTGGCAATTGCTACCTCTATTCTTCTTCAGGTACTTCAGCTGAGCTGGCTGAGAGATCTTTCTTCATCTATTTTGGCTTCCACTCAGTGTCTTGTCCATCTGGAAGATTTCCTCATTTCTCATGCAGAGTATGTTCAACCCTTTCCTATGCATCTTTTTGCCATGATGATCTTGATGTCCAAGGCACTTCTCTTTCCTTTTCTATCTACATAAGAGGTTTTGCTTCTGTAGTATCCTTGATATTTCTCAGTCATGTGCACATACATTCTTTTTCATGGGCTCTGGGGTTCAATGGAACATGTTCTGTGTACCCCTTTTCTGCCTTTATGTCTGTGCCTTCCTCTCTACATCCCTCTGTCATAGTGGCTTCATCACTCCAATACAACCTGGGATATTCCATACCCCCCCCCAGCCCAACTTAAATCTCTACACTGATGTCTTCCTTTCCAGTTGGGGAGCATTTATTGACACCTCCACTCTCTATAGAAGATACTTCTGTGCATATCATCTTATGTGAGCTGACTGAGGCATAACAGGCTTACCAACTCCTTCAGTCACTGTTGTTGGGTCATCTCGTAGTGATCTACTCAGACATTTTTACATCAACTGCTGAGAAGGCACCTACTCTTGGGAACCTTACTTTTTCACTCTAGAATTCCTTTGTTCGGTCCTACCATCCTCATATTACACTTGTGGGATATTATGTTGCATGAGTTTTTAATCTGGTGGCTTGTCTTGACTGGACAGGATTCATCCCACAGAGTGTTCCTTGCACCCTCCAGTTTTACAGTGGATTTTTTCCATTTTGGGTTCCCACTGATCAATCAGTCTGCAATGCCCTTCACTTGTTCTGGTTGATGATGCTTTGAGCCTACATTGGTCCAATTTCTTTCTCTATGGCACTCCTCCTCACACCCATGAGCTTTCCTTTTCTGTCACTATTTCAAAAAGAGGTCATCTTTGTAATTAGTCTGCACTGGCCTCTACACTATCTTCAATGTGGGATTCTATCTCTTAGTGGTGCAGGGAGATAAGTAGTCTTTCTGAAGTTAACATTTTCCTTACCTGGAAATGTTTTTCAAATAAATCCTCACCTCTCTGCACCATCGCCCACCCTTTCTCTCCATTTCTGGTGCATTTCATTTGCCTTGTCAAGAATGAGCCTATGATCATGTACTAATGCTCATAGGGATTGCTGCACATGAAGGCTGTGTCTCCTTCATATTGGTGGAGGACTAAATTATTATGAAAATCATGTCACAGGATAGCACAATACTTGTAGGGGTAAGTTTGTTCAAGGCTTTTGGCATGCTCAGAAAATTTCACAGCAGCTGCATATGAGGTAATAGATCTTAGTGGTGCAGAGAGGTACATATCTATCTGAAAAACATTTTCAAGTAAGGAAAATGTTAACTTTATCAGTCCTTTTGTTTTAATTTGTTATAAAAAACAAAATATA